GTGTGTGTGTGTGCGCGCGCGCGCGCGCGCGTCTGCTCTCCCGGTGTAGGTTCCAGGGAATAAGTATTTGAACTCTGCTGTGTGTTGCTCCATCGCTGTCTCCAATAGCCCTCTAATTACGTTTTACTTCGGTTGCAAATCAACCTCATGAGAAAGTACCTTAAATTCATAGCCAATACTTCCAGGATTTTAGTTGGATTCATCTCCCATGCAATGATTTGGGAAAGAAGATTCAGGGGCTCTCTTCCATTTTTGTGTGCCTTCTGGCTTTTTCCACAAATAGGAAGCTATTTCTAGAACCTTTCATTTGATGATTTGATAACATCAAGTGAGCTGATTTTTAACTCTAGACTGGGAAGAAAGAAAAGTGAAATGAAATGAGGATTAACAGGCTTTTAAAATGGGGTGACTAGCGAGAGAGAGGGTGTCATTTTAGGCCGATTACTGCTGTGAAGCTCTCACTTTCTGTATTTATCCTGAGGGAGGAAGGAATGGCATTATAAATGAGAAATTATATATATAATATTCCACCTCATTGGTTCCTATTGAAACTAGGAACCTTTTGGAGAAGGTATAATGCAAGAATCAAGGTTAGAAACTTTGGCATAAAAAAAAAACACCTCCTTTTACTAGCATCCAGTTCTACCTAAACGTTTTAAAAATGCCTTCCTCCCTTATCAAAAGTGAAAGCCCAAATGTTTCAGTTGATGTGGTTTGGAGCCTTTGGTTATAAGCTTTTCATTCTGAGGAACAAATTTGAATTTCTCAGATTTGCATATTCAATTAAAAACAGTTTTTATACAGCGTGAAAGTAGCACCTCTGCTGGGAACATAGGATAGTTTTTTGTTTTGGAAATAAAAGTAATATTCTGCAAATTGAACGAATGTTTCCATGTAAGATAGAAGTAAAGTTTTGATGCTAATATCTGAAAATCACGCGGGACGTTTTCTCAAGAGACTTTGGGTGCCTCGGTCTCTTCTTGTTTTGCATGACAGAGGATGTGGTAAGGAGAAATGTGGGGAGAAAGTCTGCAACCCTTTTTACAGAAAAGGTGTGTGTACATGGGAAAACAAGACAGGCAAAATCAAATTACAATATTTTCTAAAAGTTTTCTAACCTAAATGAAAGATTTTATTTTATTATTTTTTTGGTACCAGGATTGAACTCTGGACCATGAGCTTCCAAGGCAGATGGTGGCACCACTGAGCTAAATCCCTGGCACAAGCTTTTAAAATAATACTGTTTTACTATACTTTTTCAGTTGGCAAGGATTTTATAAGGTACTATCTATGATTCAAGTTCATAGGTAGATTTGAACCACCCCCTCTGTCCCCTTAGTGATTTATTCTAGGCCTCATACATGTTTAGGCATTCTGCCACTGAGCCACGCCCTTTTATTACTTTGTTTTGAGACAGGGTCTTGCTAAGTCCAACTTGCTGTCCTTGAACTTGTGATCCTCCTGCCTCAGCTTTCTGAATAGCTGGGAATATAGGCATGTGCCACCTTGCCCAGCTTTGAGTTATCCTAACCAAATTCCAGTCTTGAGATACAGTGTTTGGGGAATATTCAAGCTGGGATAGTTAAAGTATTATTTTCAGAAGTTTACTCCTATCTTTTTACTTTTAATAATGCTTTTGCACAGTTCTGTACTAATATTTGTTATTTCTTCAACTTGCAGCTCTCCAGGGTGAAGTGAAACAGTTCTGGCTTCTGATCTGAATGTCAAGTGTGTGATCTATGGTGAGTTAAATTTCTCTGAACCTCCATCTTCTCATCTTGTAAATGGTGATAATATCTCACAGACTCGATAGGATTAAACAAGATAATGTAAGTAAGGAACTCCACCCAGCATGGCTGCTTAGGAGGGACCCTAACACACTAATACCTTCCTGCATGAGGGTAGTGAAGAGAACAAGGTGAACCTAGGAGAGTGGAACCTAGTGTCTGATCTCTGCTTCAGCTCCTTACTTGTTAGAGGTCCAGAGTTACTCTGATGGACATGTGCCAACTTCCTACAAGGGATGTGATCATTATGTACTAAATACATGTACTAATAAACTAAAATTTGAAAAACCAAAGTTACTTGGCCCGTAAAGGCATCAATTGCCATTAAATTGAGGTTAGAAGTATAAGTCTCTTGCCTAGAGGTTGGATGGAGTAGGCTGTTAAACTCTCCTTAAATAAAATCCCTTTAATGACATATTTTATTCTCTTTAGACATCTACTACTTTTAAGAATAATAGTTGTTGGTGGCAGGATCTGTGTTTCTGTGTAAGTGAACTGTTTTATCTTTAAGTCAGGGTGAACATGAAGAAGGGTGGTTAATTCCATTGTTACTGCTCTTTTCTCCACTTCCCTTGGGCTGAACTAGTTTCTGGTTTCCCATAAACATCACTAGTGGTTTAATTACCATGAACTCACTTATGCAACTTCTTCTTTAAAGATTTTTAAAATCAGAAAAAGAGTGTGGCTTTTGTGGCTTTTGTTTGAGAGAGAGTATAGTGTGATGTTTAAGAATGTGAACAGTGGATCCTAGTAGAGGAGATTTGAATCCTGCCTTTGACTTAATAAATTTTCATTCAACTGCTTATTTACATGTTCCTGGTCAAGTGACTTAATCTTGCTAATACTGAGGGTTCCAAAGTGGTTTTGCCAATTTACATTCCTACTACCTGTGTGTAAGAATTGTGGCTGTTCTGTATCCTTGACTTAACAAAAGGGGAAGTAAATATCTATGTAAAGTTTTTAGCACAGGTTCAGACACACAGTAGCAGGCTTGTAGTTAAAACGAATGCTACTTTTTCTTTGTTCAGAAACTGTTAAATCCCTACTATATGCCAAACCCTAGTCTGTTCTCTGTGAATAAAGAAATAAATAAAGATAGTTCTTTATTCGTGGAGCTTCCACAGCTACATAGAATTCCATGCTGTCAGTTCTAGAATGCACCCCAGCTCATGCTGATGATATCAACTCTCGCTATGTAGTGTTTCAGGTATAAAAGACATTCTGCTTTCATAGTCTGCTAAAATGGAGTCAGGAGAGTGCAGCTTAGAGTTATTATGTTTTGTTCCTGCGTGGGGAATTCTTATTCAGTATGGAAGACAAAGCTGTTTAAAATTGATATTGTGGGAATTCTGGTTTCTCAGATTGAGGTTCCATCATTCACTAGGCATCTGTCCAACTTTTCTTGTGTTCCTGAACTCTTCTGAGAACAGCAGACACAAAGGTGAATAAAGCCTGTTCCTCCCCGGAGAAGCTTCCAGTGGAAGCTTGGTGGGGATGTAAGAAACAGTGATACTGTTTCAACAGTGCTTTTCTTTTTCTTTCTTTCTTTCTTTTTCTTTTTCTTTTTTTTTTTTTTTTTTTTTTTT